GTGTGTGTGTGTGTGTGTGTGTGTGTGTGTGTGTGTGTGTGTGTGTGTGTGTGTGTGTGTGTGTGTGTGTGTGTGTGTGTGTGTGTGTGTGTGCAGGGGGCAGAATTACGAGATAAATGAGCAGTTATTCACAACTATGGGGTTTCTAATGGAACCCTTTTTTTATCTAATTAATTATGTTACGGTGCGTTTCTCTCATACATTGATAGTTTCGTTCAGTGCCGTCACTATAGTATAGTGCCGTCATTAAGGAATATTTAACATAACAGGAAGCTTTACCCGGAAAGCATATCATGTATAATTAAATTCACTCTTGTATGGCGCGTATATGCGTATATCGATTTACTTCACATACGCTGATCCCCGTCTGTAGACGGTCGAGCGCATGATCATTGTTTCAAGCTGTATAATATATATATATGCTCTGTAAAACATCGATATACGCGTTGTATGGTTAGATGTGCTGGTAGAAAACAGCATATCGTATATGATTGCATGCATTTCCCGTTTATTCCTCTTTTATTCGATAGCTATGTCGATGGTCGTCAATGGTGCTGTACCTGGTTAAGTCAGGCGTTAGTGACGCGCGATTGCTAGCTTGAGGTTTGTGCCGCTTATGGTGTAACAACAAAATAACGCATCCGCTCAAGAAAAACCTACGCACATCTTTCTATGAACGTTATATATATATATAATATATTATATATATATATATATATATATAATTGTAGATTAAGTTTGCATGCTGTACGTATTATAGGGGCAATATAGAGCATGGTAATATCCAACCTAATACACTAAAGCTTTGTCTAGGACTAATGATTACTTTGCGTGCTCGAATTTCAGTATCATTCCGCTTATATTTGCCGAAATTTGCTCTTTCGGTCACAGGCACTTGAAGCGTTTCAATAAAATATATACGCAGGGGTCGTGTGCTGTGCACGGCGACAGTTAAATATATAGTTAAATATATATAGTTAAATATATATTTAACTGTCGCCGTGCACAGCACACGACCCCTGCGTATATATTTTATTGAAACTCTTCAAGTGCTTGTGCTTTCGGTCAAGTTTCAACATCTGCAAAAACACACATATGTCCACCTTTTCTAGCTGGGTGAATGGACAATCGGTTCGAAATTTAGATGTTAACAATTAAAAACCTTCCTATCAGGCAAGAGTTTTATCATATTTTTGTTGCATTTTTCTCCCAGCAAATGTTTTTATTTTAAGATACCTCGATCGCTCTCTTATAGCCGACATCAGAAACGCGGTTTTCGAAACTAACTTAGCGATATTGAAAGTATAACAACGAAAAACTGTGGAAATGCAAAAGGAATTATCATTTCATTTAATCAGCATGGATATTATTAGTTCATAAAGTGAAGCACAGGCTGTGACATATCGCTGCTAATGCAATTAAGCTAGCGCGGGCTGTAGTAAACGTTAATTACTGCTATATACCTGTACGGATACACGCGACTACGTATACGATATTTTAACTATAATTACGCTCAAGGGGTCGTTGTCGTATCAGGTACTACAGATATGTACCCGAGGTACATATATGTATACACAAAGTGTACCAGACTTGTACTACAGAAGTCTACCCTAACTCTAACACTAACCCTAACCCTAAACCTAACCCTAACCCTAACCCTAAACATACCTCATATAAAAATATAAACATAATACTAAACAACCTAAAACTACCTTTGGTACATATCTGTAGTACCTGATACGACAACGACCACATCTGCTATAATTACCGTGAAGCTACTCTAAATCACGTGTGCTTCATTGTGTCTATCTATCGATTTATTACTATTTCTGTCAAACATCTCTCGCGTTACTGAATTATTTTTAGGCGGTTTTTAGACATTGTCATCATTGCTGCTTCTGCTGCTGCTGCGGCGGCGGCGGCTGTTGCTGCTGCTGCTGCTGTTACTGCTGTGGAAAAGGTGGTACAGATGGTGGTTAATTACCTGATAGTAGTCGCCACGATCTACTGCACGAAAAACCTCCTCAACCAGGTCTGACTTGATGTAGTCTGCATTCCGCAGGTTATCAATCAGATCGTCGTTATCTTCTCCGGCGCTCACAGCTCCACCCATGCTGTCGTATTTTCCCTTCTTTCTCTAGATGAAAAGAGAATATGGTTGTGTTACATCACATGCACAGCACCAATTACCCTTGATGCTACCATAGTAGACGTTACAGTATGTTACAATTAACAAATTGAATTTTCTTTGAGAATATGTTCCCCATAAGGAACTCTCTACACTTTTCACCAAGTTCTACCACTGATTTGTCGGGTGCCATTCATATATCGTAGTCCCATTCCTAGATCATGCCATATTTTAACCTGGCAGACATGCTACATTCACAAAGCAAAATTCAAACACTAGTGAATGCTACACAAAAACATCCTATTTTCACTGTATATGCTATTGTTAGCTTCTTTTGGAATGTGTGTTGGAAAAAGATACAAACACCATCATAGTGGATACACATTTGTCCTGCTATATTCTATGGAAGCACTCCTATTGAGGATTACCCAAGAATAAACCCCCAAGGTAGCCTTCGGATGAACACCAAGAGTATACGCAAACAATTAAGGCAGGCCAAAGACAACAATGCAACAAACAGTCATGGCCTAACTGAATGATATGGGGCTTTCATGATGTGAAGCACAAACTGAGGTCCAAGACAGATTTAAGTGGTGGAAGATAGTTGTAACCTTATGTTCCACCTGGGACAAAGAGGACAAACTAACTGAAGTACCTAATTCTACAGTGGTTCCGTTCAACGGTGATCATATGTGGGTAGTCGGTACTTCTACCAACCACTAAGTATGATTACCTCTAATATATTATCAACACCTGTCATTACCACTACCAGAGTGAAATTATTGATGGTATCAACACTCAAATAATTTAATTGCATACCTAACTCATGCACATTCATTGACATTCGCTATTATTACCATCTTTACAATTTTTCCTCAACCTCTGCTGCAGTACTAGTAATTCATACTACTATCAACTACTTAATATCTACTTAATTACTTTATTATACCTTCTGCAATTCATGTTCGTTTTGCAGTTGTTTCACTTCTAAATATGTCCAACATTCGATCAACACTTCTACTGCATGAAAATTGTTCAAGTGCAATCGCTTGGCTGCAATTTTGGTGTTCCATGATCATGTTGACATGGTTATTGTCTGCTTTGACATACGATATTGTTATAGTTATAGATTGTGGTTATGAATTGGGGTTAGGGACAAGTTAAATCCTAATGAACAGTAATGGTGGCGAATGCCAGCACACATACATCCTAACCCAACTTTAGTAACGGTTACGATTAAGGTAGGGAAAGGGTAGGCCTATAGCTTTAGCACTACATAGTTTCCATCCTTCTACTTCTTTTACTTTTATAGCTATTACTCACATATCTATATTGCATAGCAGTGGTGTCAACAGTGCCAGACCTATAGGGTCAAGGTCAAGCTTGTACGTGCTATTATAAACATATTTATACAGCCTACAGGTATACACCTTATCTTGGTCAGTCATTACCTTAATTCAGACATATGGTGCACCTCCATTTTAGTTTTAATGACCTGCACATCAGTTTTTATTTTGTCAAATACAGCAAATGTGGTTTATTATATTACTGCATGTCTCATGTTTCTTGTTGGTCGTACATACTGAACCTTCTCTCCCTAGTTATGGGAATCATTATATTTTATGGGTCTCGTCATGGGTAGGTGTTATTTGACAGTTAATGAGTTATTCGTGTCGTATTTTGCTTTCATCACATTAACTGTACAAAAACATATGAAGGCCACAGACTAGCAAATTCTCAATAGCAGCGTTGAAAATCTCACTGGAAAAATACTTAAACAATCAGATGCGCAGTTACTGGGGGTTCTATAACCATATTATGCGCACGTACGATACTGTCATTACTGATAAACAGATGATCTTGGTCGAGTGCTTAGACTATCTTGGTAAACAACAAGTACAACGACGCCAGACACAACATAAACACTTGCAATTACACTGCTTATAAATTCGACTCATTTAATCACCCAATCTATACTTATGTCGACCAGTTAAGTAAATCATTTGTCTGACTTTTCAGACGCATGACTTACCGACGGAAATCAGATTGCTTACGACGTTTTCTCACATCTCAAGACAAAAACATGTAATAACGTACAAATGGCTCACGTGACGTCAAAAGCATAACACTGCGTTGCATTCTGGGATATTATTTCAGCTGATCGTCACACGTACACGTGACGGCAGTAATCGCCGCTATCATAGCCGCTATCATAGTCAAATGCACCGTGACGTATATTTGATACTATCAAGAGTGCATAATAGAGATCTCTATTATGCACTCTTGATACTATATATTGCAGACATACATTATAACAGGAGTGAATCATAATAGATTATTCACTAGAGTATTTATTAGATCTATGTTTTATTCACTCCTGATTATATGTATCTAGAGGGGGGGGGAATGGTACTTTTTCGGGACGTGGGATTGGCCTTTAATTACTGGGAACTGGGAACTGTCAGTAATTTTTCCGTGATTAGGGACAGAAGTCCATCGGGACGTGGGAAAGACCTCTAAATTGTCTGGGATCTGGGGAAAATTGTTGTCAATTCGTTCGGGGATTTCAATTTCTGGCGCTAATATTTTTTATTTATTAATTTTTTTATTAATTATGCCCAGATAATAATAGTATTGAAATATTTTAGTATTTATATGTAGTGTTTGAAACCTAAATACTGAATTTCCTGAATATGTCTACATAATTTCCTGGGAACTGGGAATTGGGATTTTATTTTACTGGGAACTGAGATATGGGGTGTGTTTTTTGGCTGGAAAGTGGGAATGTCCCCCCCCCTCCCCGTTCTCCCCTCTTCTACATTGCAGAGGGGCTGTCTAATAATAACGAGGCAATATCGCGCGTAAAAGACATACTACATTTCGCTGCAGTTTCCATTATTGCAGACATTCCCATATAGCAGTTAGTAAATGTGGCTAGGCGTAAAGCAATCAGGTGGTCCCTACAAAATAAAATTAATGTTTATTTTTAAAATATATTGTTTTTATTTTCGGTTTCAAGCTACATTATAAGCATAACTCCAGTGATTCTGGCGTACGGTCGACACCTTTTGTTGCGATTCTTTTAACTCTAATGAGTTACCAGTTCCTGTTCTGACTATATAGTAATTAATAAAAAATTTACATCTTATTATATTGTAACGCAAATCAGATTCTATTATATATGGGCGTGACGTGGAACTTTCATTTTCGATTTACAATTAAAATTGTGACAATTCGCCTACTATTGACTCGCGGTGAAAGACCAATTTTGATTTCCGATTAACCCGATTTTGCGTCGACCTCGAATGTACTCCCTGGGAAAACGAAAGAAAACTACGCATGCATATGCGTTGCCACGTGTCACGTAAAACGTACCCATACGTACGTACGGTAAACGTACGTATAAAAAACGACATTTGCGAATAGTGAATTTTCTTTCATTTTTGGTTCTAGCGAATTGTGAATTTGGGGTTGAAATCTCGTTTATTTTGGGCTGTCTTAACAAAGGAAACCCGGATGAACGCGTTCCTTGCTCTTCCTCGGAATGTTCTCATTACCGGAAGAACAGTAAAGGCCGCCGACATTCCCGTCAATACGAAGTCGCGATCAAGCATTTGCAGGGATAATTAGAAACTTTGGCATATATTTTTCATGAACAATATCAACAATGCCATTATTCTATTTTGTTTTGTAATTTCGGGGGTTCGTTTACTCTAGCATATCTAGTTATTCTATATTAATATTATTCGGGATTATAATTCTTCTTAGTCTTATTGACATTGTGAACTACGATCTCTCAAGGTATCCTAGTGTATTTTAGCACTGATATATTACTACATAAATTACTACTAACTAACTTTACTACTACTACTGCGTACTGGCACTAACTACTTATGCTAGCTCTATACATACATGAATACTACTACTGCTAAGAATACTATCCTACTACTATACTGCTACTACTATTATTACTATCTTACTATACCATTAACCTCTACTAACTTTTATACTATCTACTTGACCTTTGACTCTACTTACTACTACTATACTACGTCCAATACTTCAGTACTGTTATATACTATATTGTGATTTGCTGTATACCTCTTATGTGTTTTACTTATGTTTTATTTTTATTATTATTAATAATTATTATATATTTTATCGTCTACCTCATGAGAGTATATATTGGTAATGACGTAAGAAACATGAGCTCGCACGTTCCCAACATAGCAGCAGGTCGATCTTATTAACAACACCGCGAACGCGCGATTTCAACCTGTTTTCGCATCTCATCGAAGCTTTTATTTTCATGTTCATAATCGACTACCCTACAATCGATGTACGCAGTGTCTGTATTTACGCCGTAGTTGTGATTGTGCAGCTATATGTAGCTCTTCGGATATTGCGTCCGAATAATGCCTGTCTACTGATTATACTTGTCGTTCTGTGACACGATAGTTTTTCTACAGAAGCGACGAGCAGCTGTACTGCACATTTACCCCGCCACTGTAACAATTTGCAGTAAAGCGTCATTCGATTCGAGGAGCGTACAAGCGTATATATAGTGACTATCGATGACTAGATCAAGCTCGGGGTAGAAACGTTGCCAGCGCAGAAGACGTTTCCCATTGTTTTCAATAAATTCGCTCCGGTGATGATTCTGGCCGTACGCGTGTAACTTAGAGATGGATGATGATTGATGATGATGTATAGACATTCGTTTCGTTTGCTTTATATGTATTGATGATTAGCTGTAACAGATCGGCATTCGCGTTCATGTGCATTTTACGCCAACTGCCACATGTAGCCTACATATTATTTATATCACCCTATATATGATTATACTAAATATATTATAATCTGATATATATCGTTATTCATGGAGTAAGTTAGTAATTAGCGGTTATTATCCTTTTGCGTTAGTATTACTATATCTATATATAATATTATAGTATTGTATATATATGTGTGTGTGGTGTAGGATGCTGGTGTGGACTCAAACTCGCGAGCGAGCTGTGCAGATGCCGTTCGCGTGCGTGTTGGATGTGTGTGTGTGTTGCTGTGTGCTGCGTGAGGAGCGTGCTGTTGTGGTGTGGTGTGTGGTCAACGGGTGTGTGGTGTGTGTGTGTGTGTTGGTTGGTGCTGTGTTGTGTGTGTGTGTGTGTGTGGTGAGGGGGCAGAATTACGATTTATAATAGTGATTCAGTTATTCACAACTATGGGGTTTAATGGAACCTTTTTTTAATCTAATTAATTATTGTTCGGGTGCGTTTCTCTATACATTTAGTTTCCTGTTCCAGTGCCGTTCACGTAATAGGTTAGTGCCGTCAATTAAGGATATTTAACATAACAGGAAGCTTACCGAAAGCATATCATGTATATTATTCACTCTTGCTTATGGCGCGTATATGCGTATATGCGATGTTACTTCACATTTACGTTGATCCCGTCTGTAGACGCGTCGAGCGCATGTATCATTGTTTCAAGCTGTATAATTTATATATATGCCTCTGTCAAACATCGATATACGCGGGTTGTATGGTTTAGATGTGCTGTGGTAGAAACAGAATATCGTATTATGTTGCATGCATTTGTCCGTTTATTCCTCTTTTATTCGATAGCTATGTCGCGTCATGGGGCGTCCTTGTCCGCTCATGGTGCTGTGTCTGGTTTACCGCTTAGGGTCGAGTTAGACGCGGGCGATTGTAGCTAGACAGGTGTTGTTGAGGCCGCTTACTCGGCGGGTTGTAACAACAACAATAACGCATCCGCTCAAGAAAACCTAGCACATCTTTCTTATGAAACGTTTTATATATTATATCTTGAATATATGTATATATATTATATATGTATTTATATATTATATATATAATTGTAGAATTTAAGTTTCGCATGCTGCTACGTATTATAGGGGGCAATATTAGAGATGCGTATATCCAACCTAATCACTAAGGCTTTGTCTAGGACTAATGATTAACTTGATAGAGTATCTTCAGCTGCTTGAATTTCAGTATCAGTTTCCGCTTTATATTTTGCCGAATTTGCTCTTTTCAGGTAAAGGCACTTGAAGGTCGTTTCTCAACTAAATTATGATACCGGCGAGAGCGTTCGGTAGTGACTTGTGCACTGCGTACAGTTTTATTTTGATATATTGAGTTGTAATATATATAGTCTCAATATCCTTTACATTTAAACTGTCTCAGCGCCGATGCACAGGCACCGACCCCGTGCGTATATATTTATTGAAACTCTTTCTGGTGCACTGTCGCTTGTTCGGTCATAAGTTTCACACATCTCTTGCAGAAAAACCACAACATACTGTCACCTTTTCTTAGGCTTGCGGTGATGGACCAATCGGTTCGAGATTTAGACTGTAACAATTTAGATCATTGCTATCAGGGCAAGTGTTTTTATCATACTTCTTTTGTGTATGCATTTTTCTTCCCAGCGCAAATGTTTTTATTTTTTAAGATACCTTCGATGCCGGCTCCTCTTGATAGCCGATACGATCAGCAAACGCGGGTTTTCGAAGCTACTTAGGCCCGATATTTGAAAGTATAACAACGAAAAACCGTGTAAATGCAAAGGATTATTTCATTTTCATTTATCGCTTGGAGTAGTGTATCAAGGTATCATTAAAGGCTGAAGTATGATGGCGACTTGTTGGACATTCGTGCCTAATGCAATTAATGCATAGCGCGGGCCTGTAACGTAAACGTAAAAATTATTTAAACTGGATATTGCTATATACCTTGTACAGTACACGCCGACTACGTATACGATATTTTAACTATAAATTTTACGGCTCAAGGGGTCGTTGTCGTATTCAGGTACTACAGATATGTACCGAGGTACATATATGTATACCAAAGTGTACCAACTTTGTACTACAGAAGGTCTCACCCTAACTTTAACACTAAGCCCTAACCTGAAACCTACCCTAACCCTAACCCTATAACATACCTCATATAAAATATAAATAATACTAAACAATCTTAAAAACTACCTTGGTCATATATGTTAGTACGCGCTCGATACGGACAAGACCGACATCTTGCTATATTACGGTGAAGTACCTAAATCACGTGTGTTTCATTTGTGTCTATCTATCCGATTTT